CCCCTGTAGCTACCCTGTAGCTTCACCCACTCTCTTTGCTCTTGGCAGGAATGTTGGGGAATCTGAGGAAGTTAATTGTCAATCATTTATTGTTGCTAACTCTTCTTTCTTTTTCTGGTAGCTTTTGTGATTGCTTCTTTATCTTTGAAGTCTGCAGTTTCACAACAGTGTGTCTGAGAATGAGCTTATGTTTATTTATCCTGCTTAGAATTCAGAGAGCATTTGCATTCTGAGAACTTGGGTCTGTCTTCAATTCTCAGGAATTTTCTCTTCAAATGTCACTTCTTCAACATTCCTTCCGCTCCTTTCTGCCAGAACTCATTTAAACTAACTTGAAGCCTCTAAATCCGTATTCTAGGAGCTCTGGTGGCATAATGCCTAAGGCATCTGACTGGTAACCAGAAGGCTGGCGGTTCAAACCCACCAGCCACTCCTCAGAAGGAAGGTTGGGCAATCTACTTCTGTAGTGACACTGCCTCAGAAACCCAAGGAGGGGTTGCTATGAGTCGGGTCCAATTCAACGGTAGTGAGTTTGGTTTTGGTTTTTGGAAGTCTATATTAAAGGTTTCTTAACAGTTTTTTTTTATGTTTTTATATTTTGTGCTTTTTTAGGCCGAATTCTGAGTGAGTTCTTTAGTACTAGCTTTCGATGAACCAATTTTGAAAAGGGTCCAGTGTTTATCCCAACTATTGCAACTTTTTATTTTAATGTGATCTTTTTATTTCAAATATGTTAATTGGTCCTGTTTTTGCTTACTGTGTTGTACCTTGTTTTGATGGAAAATACACTTTCACTTGCCTCTTCAAACACCTTCAAGATATTATTTTAAATGCTTTGTTCAATTCATCTGTAAAATGAATTTCATCTTCAGTGAATTATAGTTCTGAGTGCTAATTTTGTTAATTCCCTTTATTAGCATCAAAATTTACATTTTTTTTGGTTTTATTTTGTCTTCAAGCTCCCTTTGAAGGGGAAGTAGTAAGTTTTTATTATTATCATTTTTTTTTTCTTTTTTCTTTTTTTTTGGTCTGTCACATGCAAACCTTCCCCAAAAAAGTGCACCTCTCCACCCTTCTGTGCTCAGTGGTCTGTGGCTGCTTCCTTCCAGGCTGCTGGGCATTACATCCTGAAAACAAAAAAAAAAAAAAAAAAAAAAAAACTCACTGCCATTGAGTCAATTCAACTCATAGTGCCCCTCCTTGGGTTTCCGAGGCAATATCTCTATGGAAGTATATTGCCCAATCCTCTTTCTGAGGGTTGGCTTGTGGGTTAGCAGTCAAATGCCTTAGGCACTACTGAAGCAAGTCTTAAAGTGAGAATCTGGAATTGATGCCCATATGATGTTAACTGTGGCAGAGCTAAGTAGTTGGGCACCAGGCTCCATCTGTGCCTCTCCTGGCCTGCAGCTAACCAGGAACTGGACCCCAGGCAGCACTTGGCAGCAGGTTTTTCAGTTTATTTTTTGGAGGGTGGAGTGTTGAATACCCCAGGTGCTGGCTCTAGCCTGCAAGCTTGGTTCTTGATCCTTGTAATGTCGTTCATACTGCAGGATCTGAATTTTCTTCACCTTGGACATATCTAGGCCCAGACCTCAGAAAGCCCATGGGTTCAGTCTTTCTCACTTTTTGGAACTTCTCTATTTTCTCTATCTCACAAATTTTTTTATCTTGTATTTGACAATAGCTGTGTCCTCTTGGTTTTCTCTTTTTATATTTCATCCATTATCACTGTATGTTTTTGAGGATAAATAATCTAGATGTCAAATGTCCCCTTCTTTAAAAATCCTCACTCCACTCCACCCTCACCCTTGGCCCCAGGCATTTCTACTCTTTCCTTTCCACCAAGTTCAAACATTAAGATGAGATACCTCTAGTCTTTGGGTATCCTTACTGACTTCTTTTTGCCCACCCCATCTTACCAACACTTGGCACCTGACAGAGGTTGGCTGTTGTCAGGAGAGATACAGGAGAGTAAAAAAGTCAACGGTAAAAGAGAAGTGGTTTTGTCCAATTCTCAGTCCATGTCACAGAAGCTACAAGTGAAGGAGCTAGTGTTAACGGTTGATGAATTCCTAAGGAAATTCACAGTAAAATACAGTTTTCCATGAAAAACACCAACACTAATTGTCAGTTTTTCAAAAGCATCATTCAAGTTTGTATTTGTGGCTCATCACTCTTTTGCTGTGGTGTGACTACATTAGTGGTATGCTTAATGGGGATACAACTTACTGATTAACTGGGAGGCTACCATCCCAAATGCAAAGTTGAATGATGAAAGGAAAATAACAGTTGTATAAACACAGGCCAGCCCATTTAGAAAATTGCTCAGGCAAAAATCTCTTAGATTTTCATAGGATTCCATGCATCATGGAGGAAGAGAATGGGTCTCTGCATAGAGCAGCGGTAGCAAGAGGATAAACTTATCATTACACTCCGGAAATACTTGGCTGGCTTGAATCACAGCTCTCTCAAAGCCCCCTAGAAATAAACTCCTGAGATACTTAGAGATTCTCTGGTACATACCTTCCTGTTACATTTTCCTGTATCTCATAATCCTTGTCTCTTAGAAGCACCACTAAGTATCTAAAAGACAGCTAGGAAGATGAAATAGTACCTATAAGTTTGATGTGAATTTCACTTACATAGCATTTTCTTCTCTTAAATATAGGCCATTCAGATATTATACTTCAAGTCTTTGGATTTAAATCAAGTGCTGAGAATGGTTGTACCAGATTCCCCCACACTCACTCCACTTGATTATTTTATTTGCTTCCTTGAATAGAAATACAAAGAGGCCAAAAGCAGTGGAAAGGTTTTTTTCTAGGTTGCACCTAGCTCTTCCCTTAAATAATCTACCTGCTTCCCCACTCTCTAGCTGATCACAAGAGTTGTAGGGTTCCAGAAGACCTCAAAAATAATACTCCTTCAACTGCAGGAATGCCCATCAACTTGGCTCTCTCCATTTCTCAGTACTTCGCACTCTGGTCAGGGATGATATGTGGGACGGAACAAAACCCATGTGATTTGGTTATTTTCTGCTCTAACAGAAAATACCACAAGTGGGTGACTTTAACAAACAGGAATTTATTCTCTTACAGTTTTGGAGGCTAGAAGTCCCAGTTCAAAATGCCATGTTCTAGGGGCTGAGTGAAAGCCATTGACCTTGGGCTTCAGCAATGCCTCTTGCTCCCGGCCCACTGGAGCTAGAGGTGTTTCTTCACTCAGGTGGCTGCTGACTGCTGAGGCTGACAAACCCAAGGTTGACAAATAAAATAGCACAGTCCCAAAATTATCAAACCACACAAACCAAAAAAACCAAACTCACTGCCATTGAGTCGGATCTGACCCCTCCTTGGGTTTCCGAGGGAGTATCACTAAGGAAGTAGATTGCCAACCTTCCTCCCAAGGAGTGGCTGATGGATTTGAACCACCAGTCTTCTGGTTAGCAGTCAAATGCCTTAGGCACTACACCACCAGAGCTTCTATCAAACCACACAGTAGGCCACTAATTCCAAGTCCATTAACAGTCCCAAGATAGGCAAACAACATGGCGGGCTGCTGAACGATGACTCAGCTACATGCAGAATTCAAATGTGCCAAAAAGCTTCAGGGACCTTTCTCAAAATTTCTGCTTCTATATTGGAAGCAGACCACATCCCTAAGGCAGCTACTCAGCTGCTCCAGTAGATTCCACCATGGAGTTGATTAACAATCCCATCATGGGGAATAACTACATCCAGCTGCCCAGCCACTTAAAACCAGGCCCAGCTAAAATGACACATAACCTTAACTACCACACCACAGGAGTAGAAAATTCTCAGACCACAAAATCCTCAGGGAATAGAACTCCAATGGGTGGACTTCCTAGGGCTGTCCCTGGGGTCAGGATAGAGGTGGAGATCTAAGACTCCATCTTAGTGAACATGATGAAATCCCTTCCTCTGTTGTCCAGCATCCTGCTGTGCACACTTCAGCCTTCTCTCCTTCACCCTGGGTGGTGCTTAAGGCTGCTCTCTAGGTTCCTAGCCCAACTGTGTACACATCATGGTTGCTCCTCCAGCCTATACCTAACTTTAACTTAATCTCCTCCCAACATCAAATCTCACTCATCCTGTGTGAAGCAGAGCAGTCCAGTATCTTTAGTTGAGGAGCAATTGCCCCATTCATTCCTGTCCTCCACCAGACAGCTTCCCTCATTGATAATTCTATCTAAGAGCACTTGAGATTACAACCTCTGCATGAAACCTTTCTAAGTTATCTCCATGACACTTCTCTGACCACTTCCTATCACCAGCAATGTGATGGGGCCCTTCTTGGTGCTCACATCATATACACTAAGTACATATACCTCACCATTTATAGCAAAATCTACTTTAGCTTATCATCACTTCTGTTTCTGTATGTCACAGGTTGAATTTTCTGGATGCTGACTTAGACAGGATTTGCATGCAGGAGGTTTATAAAAGAATGCTGTTGTGACCAAAACCTATGATGGAGGAACAGAGTTAAGAAAACAAAATTGGACACAGGGAGAAGTTGCCTGTGATACTTCAGCTGATCCTATGGAAAGCTTGGAGCTAGGATGATCCTTCAGGATGGTTCCAAACAGAGGCAAGACAGAAGAGCTTTCATTGATCAGTCATGGGATTCAGGTAACCCCCAAGGAGAAGGCATGACTTTTGGCAGGGCTACATTCAATTGCTGGAGAAGAGTGAAGCTGAGGGTTGTCCTCTATTGACCCTCCCAGCAGCTGTGAGGATAAAGACTTCTGTCTGTCTATGTCTTCTACTTTTTGTAACCCAATAGCCCCCAGACTTTCTAATTCATCATCCACACTCAGCATGCATCTGATAGATTGACTTGATATGTTAATCTGATTAACTATTATAGGAGAATGACTTTTATTTTCAGTAAGCTACATTTGATTCTCTTCCAGTCAAACTATGCAACTGGCTAATCCAAATTCCCAAGCCAGGGAGCCCATATCGGTGAGTGCCAAACTAGCCTTGTCTCTTCCCACAAGGACACCTTCCCAGGAGTTTCCTCAGAGCCCCAGTCACTTCTTTGTTCCTCAGACTGTATATGAGAGGATTGAGCATGGGAGTGATCATGGTATAGAAAGCAGAGACCACCTTGTCCTGCCTGGAGGAGTGGTAAGCCTGAGGCCTCACGTAGGTGATCATGGCAGCCCCATAGAACAGGGACACCACCACCATATGGGAGGAACAGGTAGCAAAGGCCTTCTGACGGCCTTGGGTAGAGCGCATGTGGAGTACAGCCACCAGGATCCTCAAGTAGGAGGCTGAGATGACAGAGAAGGGCAGGAGCAGCATGAGGACGCAGCAGACATAGATCATGGTCTCATAAAGGGAGGTATCAGCACAGGCCAGCTTGAGCACAGCAGGAACCTCACAGAAAAAGTGGTCGATCTCTTGGGAGCCGCAGTAGGGGAAGCGGAGGGTGAAAACTGCCTGAATCAGCCCATCCACCAATCCAAAGAGCCAGGATCCAGCCACCATGAGCCAGCACACTCGGCAGCTCATGACCACTGAGTACCTCAGTGGGTCACTGATGGCCACATAGCGGTCATAGGCCATGAAGGCCAGCAGAAAGCACTCATCCCCTAGGAGGGTGAGGAAGAAGAGGATCTGGAGCCCACAGCCTGTGAAGGAGATGGAGCCACCTCCCAGAAAGAAGTCCACAGCCATTCGTGGCACAATGGTAGAGATGAGCATGAGATCCATGAGCGAAAGCCAGCTGAGGAAGAAGTACATGGGGCTGTGGAGGCGAGAGTCGACATTGATGAGGAGAATCATGAGCCCATTTCCAGACAGGGCCACCAGAAACATGACCATGATGATAGAGAAGAGGAAGAGGTGCAGCGGGGAGTAAGTGAAGAGGCCCAGGAGGATGAAGTGGGAGATGAGAGTCTGGTTTCCCACCCAGGCCATTGTTCCTGTGGAAGGATGCAGTGAAGATGGGTTGGAATCTGAAAGCAGGAGATTTAAGTTTAGTCTTGTAATATTGGGGACATTATAACTTTGCTTGATGTTTTTCCCTCTTTAAATGTTACTTAGTTTAAAATAAAAGACCTTCCCCACCAACGGGTCAATGATAAAAAGCCACCAAGAAGAGCCTGAATCACCCTTGGCTGCTCTTCACAAACAGGTAACAGAGATCTAAATACAACAATGCCACAATCCCTCGAAAACAACAGACCATCACAGTCCACACAAAGAAGCAGGATAAAGTGGTAGAAACAAGGGAGCAGTATACAGACCCAGAACACATCCCTGAGGAAGAAGCAGCATTGGACCTCTCTGATAAGGAACTCAAAAGAATTGTATTTAGGTATCTTCAAAGAATTGAGAGACAGATCAAAGAAAACACAGAAAAAACCCTAGGAGAATTTTAGAATAAAATACAAGAAAAAAATGACAAAATAAATAAAAAATTAGAAATGATTCTAAATCTACAGACAGAAATCCAAAAGATTAATACTAAATTGTCAGAAATAGATAACACATTGGAAGGGCAAAGG